CAAGCCTAAAAAAGAGAGGCAGAGCTGTATATTTTACGATTGGTACCACAGACAGAGAAAAAGAAATTTTACTCTGTTTATTAAGAGGCCTAGCTGGAGGCTGAAGCCTGGCAACAGTAGCTAGCTTGCCAGTGCTGGTAGAGCAGTAACTGTAGAACAGACCCACTGACAGGAAAAAAGTGTACCTTTTAAAATCAAGGCCTGTAAGTTGGAACAGAAGCCTGAGGGAAAATTATGCCTCTAACCCGCAGTCAGGTTGTGGAAATGGGGGACCAGGAAGACCCAACACTAGTGGATAATGGGTCTGAGGATGATTTTGGCTCTGTGCAAGGGGATATTGGTGGTGAACAGACAGCAGAATATAGGAAAATGCACTTAGCGTATCAACATGAACTTAGGATGAGGGAATTAGACTTAAGAGAGAGAGAGAGAGAGAAAGGCAAAGACAAATAGAGAGTGAGAAAATTGCTCTGGAAAAAAGAAAAGATGGCAAATGAGATCAGAAAACTTGAGTTGTTGAATCGAAATAACAATAATAACTTGAGTCCAGATGGTTCTGAGGGGCGCCTGTCAAAGGCTGACCTGAAGAAATTCCCAGTCTATAAAAAGGGAGATTGTCCTGAGGTTTTCTTTTCTCTGCTGGATAGAACATTTATAGATTGCTCCGTGGAAGAGTCGGAAAAAATGACCACTGTGAGGTCACTAATTAGTGGTAGCCTGGCGGAAGTCTATGCTGAGATGCCAGTCGAATTATTAAAAAATTACCCAGAATTTTAAAAGCTTGTGTTTGCCCATCATGGTTGTTACAAAAACAAAGAAACACAACTTGAAAAAAAAACAAATTTATTTCCCTTGAGAGGTGTTTTTTTTTAAAAAAAAAAACCAAGGACAAGTTTTATAACAATCTGCAACTCTGTTGGGACGTGATTCTTTGGCCAATGAAGCCGAGGCTTTTGTGCCTGAGAGCAGAGGGGAGGAAGAAAGCACCGGGAGGCTGGAACATGTCCAGTGCGGGACAGAGGAGGGCCTGACTCTTTCTCTTCAGCCCTGCTCTCCAGAAGGACAGCCGTCGGTCAAACAAGCCAGAAGGGCAGGACGGAGGGGGTCTAATTTTAATTCTGAACTCAGCTCTGCAGACCCAAAAGGAATTTGGGATAGCTAGCTGAGCAGTTTTAATGTGGTCGTTCCCCCCCACCCCGCCCCAACTTGACAACAAGGAAAAAAAAATCCTGGTACTTCTAGCCATTCAATCTCTTCAGTCAGGGACATTCCCACAGCCCAGTTTGCAAGGAGAGGGAATCCGGCTCCTCCCATCCTTTGCAAACCTAAAGATTTGCCAAGGATAAATAAGGCTGCACTGAAATCACCAGCCAAGGTGATTAGAATTCAGAAGCAAGTTCTCACTTGTAGAGAAACACAATCAAGGACCTCACCGATCAAAATGGCACAAAGCCGACGGGCAAGTAGCAGAAAACAGCCCCTTTCAGAGCAACACAGGGCTGTGACCCTGGCATGGAGCTGTGTGGAAACGGTGGAAAGCATGGGATTCTCTACCCTGCCTGCTTGCTCTACACCCACGTGGTGCCGTTCATTCCCTGGCAAACAGGAAGAAAAGGACAGAAACCACGGGATGTCACAACACGGCCCAGTGAGGCCACGAGAAGCCAGCACCCACATTTCCTGGGTGGCTTTTAGGATTTGTACCCTTAGGGAAGGGCTGGGTTTTCCTCCGACTAAATCCATTCTCAGGACAATGTGGCTCTGACAGGAAGCAACCGCTGGCCTTTGTCCATCACCTTCCTGCCCCCCCCCGCCCCCGTAGCCAAGCAAGCAACTGTCGGAACGGGAGCTTTGCTCCGCACGCGGCCCGCGGCCCGGCAATTCCACCTCTTCGGCTTCGCTCCAAGCGGACAGAGCCTATGAACCCACCACGCTTCCTGCAAACCTTCTGCTGTGGAAGGTCCGAGGCTCAGAGGCTTCCTCAAAAATACACAAGGAATGGTGGGATGGGCTGCGATACACCGCTCATGGATCACGTTATTCTTATTGGAGGGAGGGAGGGAGGAAGGAAAGAAGGAAGGATGGATGGATGGATGGATGGAAAGAAGGAAGGAAGGAGGGAGGGAGGGAAAGAGAGTGGAGGAAGGAAGGAAGGATAGTATTCCTAATGGTTCCACGTAATTCCACCTGTCTCCTAATGAGCCATAAGGGGCATCAATGGCTCATTCAGGTTTTTAAAAGGTCCTGCCTTCACCTTCTCCTGCAGGCTACAAACCTGGCTGGACAAGACTTGTGAGGATGATGGCCAAGGCCAAGACCACGCTCGCTCTCCTCAGGGGTCCCTGCCGGACTCTGCCTCCAGGTTCAAAGGAGGACGTTAATGGACAGCCAAACGAGCGACCTTTCCCTGAGCCCAAGCCGGGGAGAGGCTCTTCCACCTCGTGGCTCCAGGAGAGGCCGGACGATCCCCCTTTCGTCTTGCCCTCTCCCCCACCCCTCAAAAAAAGCCCCTCCTTAGGGAATTCCCCTTCTTCCCCTTCTGACTCTCCTTCGCCCGGCACCCCCCACCCCACCT